AATAAACCAAGTGGATTAGAAGCCCAGTCCTGTGTCCACCTAGAGTTATCTGAACCATGCAAAGTGGATCACTACCTCAAAAGAGGACATGGGGATTTTCCAACTTGGCAGTGTTGCTGGAAACATTTCTTCTATTCTCGTTTATTCTAAAAGATAAAAAATTGTTCTTCTGAAGTACAAGCTTCAGGGACAAATCATTTTTTACCAAGGGATTACTGAGCCTTACTTTGGAGATGGGGAGAGGGAAACCACATGAAGAAGTGAAATAACTCCTGCTCATCCTTCAGTTTGATAGTGGAAGGCTGACATGGCCTTCTTGGCACACCCCAATTCCAACATAATCCTCCAATTCCAACTGACTACACACCTCATATACAAACATAACACTTACAGTGTCTTCAAATAATCACCAAAATGAAATAGAATTAACAAACACTTGAATCGTATCCCAGAGGCCCAAGTAACTGGTTGCTTTGGAAACCCTGCATTGACATGTTGGGAAGAATTAAAGGCATAACAGCAGCAGAATCTACTCGAAATGTTGGTCGATGAAGACACCCTTCAAAAAATGGTAGCCAGAAAAAACTGAGAACATGCAAACAGATCATTTTTATGCCTAACCTGCGGGAAGTGGTCTCACTCAGGCTACTGCTGGTTTAAAAGACCACAGCACAATAAATTAAAAATTCTTTAACCTACTTGTCAACCTAACCTAGCACTGTGCTGATGCAAAATACCTTGTCTTCATGCAACTGGTTTAAATAAAATTATGGGGTTTTGTTAAGTTAAACTGATTAAAAAAAACAACCCTGGAGTGGACATTCAATTTGATTTATTTCTAGTTTTAAATCAATTTAGCTTAAGTCTGAACCAAACCAACTTAATCTAAATCAACATGAAAGAGGGATGCACTGAATTAACAGTGCTCATGCAGGGTCATGATCTGCACATCTAAATAGATGCCAGGCAACTTTGTCTAGAGACTGCACCTATGGATTCTGCTGGAAGAAATTAGAATTTTAAAAGAACACGGTACCATGTTAAAACTTACCGACTAGTTTCACAGGCTCACTGCAATACCCACATTTCATGTCAATTTTATACCTTACTTACTGACACTGAAAATAAATGTTTCCCCCTTTATCAGTGTAAATAAAATACTCAGTCACACTTAAAGCTCAGTCAGACTAATCCTAGAGCAAAGTTACATGAGACAGGAATTCCACTGAGCCCATTTAATAAACACAGCTGAACAATGTCCCTAAGAAAAATAAAAATTAACATCCAACGCTCATTTTAAATGACACAAATCTTCTAATATTAATTCTATAATTATTTCTAAAGGTCCAAAAAGTCCAATTCTATATATGCTACCCATTTATTGTAGGTCAAATTTAAAAGTCATTTCTGTATTATGAAATATGAAACATCATACACCAACTAGCCAGTTAAGTCAGTGCAAGCTCATTACCTTAATAATATAAAGTCTATGGGTTGATTTTTTTTCCACCACTGATTCTTTGCAGTTACAATATATATACAGCTACATATACTTTAAGTTAACTTTTTGGCTTAGATGCTACTTAGGCTCATTTCAACCACTGTAACAGCCAAAATGATCACCTCCTAGGGCCAAAGGAAAGGAAAGTGTGGGATTCCAATGGCGATGAGGAAGCAGGGGAGGGTCACTAATGCTATTCACCCTGCTCCCTTCAACTTCATAGTACCACGCTGCACCATGCCCCCCGTGGTAGAGTCCTGGACACATTAACTAGGACATTTTTCCCTTTAAACTTACATGTTTTTTCCGGCACAAGGTAATGACAACACTTTTCAGCATTCTGTGAAGTAGTTTCCATCTTAGAACTGCAGTCACCGAGATAGTTGAAGGCAGACGAGGCTGAGTAGCCATGTTCAGAAAAGGAGAGGCTCTCCAAGAAATTAAGACTGCATACCCTAGCCAAGCTTGTTTGAACAAGATGGCCAAGGATATAACTGACAGAGTACAATTGCTTCGAATTCATTTCTAGACAGCTAACTGCCAGGCCTAGCTGTTCAATCAGTGCACGTAAAAGAGACTTTATAATGTGAAGTACGATAAGTATTAGGCATTATTTAAAACATCACTGGCTTGTTGATCATGCAGTTTTACTACTCCGTATTTTCTCATGTCCAAATGAAAATAAGCCCTCAGTCGCAGATAGCTATACGTATCTATATATATCAATCAGATATATATAGTTGTCCGAGTTATACAATATACAAGTACTGTATGCTATATATAAAACGTGCATATATAAATATATATCATGCTAATATGCCTTCAAATATCAGATAACTGCATGTGTATATATACGCACATACATACATATATACACACACACATACATACATATATCTATACACACACATATATATGGATACACACACACACACACACACACACACACACACACAGACAGACTACCAGTATGCTTAGAAACTTTTAAACTGTTGATGTGTTTGAGATCTGTATATCCCTCTTTGTCTTTGGGCTTTCAAGCCGACAATGTAACAGCTTCCAAGCACAGGGATAGGGTGTGGCTCTGTTTAATCAACTGACAGGTTGTGCAGCATTTCAGAGGAGAAAAAAAGCCTTGGAAATTATTTTACTTCCTCCACTGATGTTGAAAAGATTCCCGCTTTATGTGTACATTTGTTGCTCTGGAAATCCATAAAGATCAAACAAAGGCAATCATGGGACCCAGACATTTGTTAGCTCTGTTGATTGCATCACCATGCAGAATCTATATTTAAGTTGCAGACTTCAGTCACAAATGTAGACGCTGCACTTAGAAGGGCTTGTCAGAGGCTTCTTACTCTCACCTGGAACTGAAATACACTAATAAGGTATGGATGATCATCCCTGGGGTAAAACTGATTAGAGTATATCCAGTATGTAATTCATTGTTGGGATGTTAAACTGGTGTCTAATAAACTGTGCCAGAGTATTTTTATCTTGGAGAAAAGTACAAGGTAAAATTTTTTACAGTACTGGAGGCCTTGTTTCTTGGTAGAACTAAGTGGAGTACTGCATGTTTAATGCAAGAAAATAAAACAAACCATACTGGTGACAAGGATGAAAATGATGATACTTAAGTTTGAGATATATTCAACTGAAGAATAATTTAATAGCTAAAGCTATTTACTAAAGCTAAGGTTTTATTTTTTTTGTAACTGTACACTTAATAAATAAAACCTCAAGAATACCATCTCAGACTAGAGGATGCCAGGGTTACCTGACAGTACAATGTCTAACTGTGAACTGTCCAATACAGACCGAAGATGCTGCTGAAGCTGGGCTGTGTCGTCCTGGTTCTTGTGTTCTTAAATGAAGTGCATTTAGTCACTCCAGAAAATACCACCACAATAGCTGCTGCCACAAAGCCAGCTGAAACAAGCATCACCACCAAGGCTGGATCTGATATCGCAACAGCTACAAGCGCGAAACCTGCTGGAGGAGCCGAACAAAGCACCAGCGCTGGATCCAATACCACAAAAACGACCAATACAGGCACAGTGCAGCATGGAAGCTCAATGGCTATCGTCTTACCTTTGCTTACTGTCACATCTTTGACCATGTTCATTTTTTGGTTGTGAATGCTCCTATTTTATAAGCTTTTTTCCTTCTTGTATATTTATGCACCACTTGTAGTATATTTATACCAATTCAAATTTGAACAAACTAAGAACATGCACTTATGGTCATGTGAGTTTGACAGCATAATAGTGGCACTATAAGTTAAGGTTGCTTAATTAATAACTAGGTTTGAATGGCTAGCTCCAGTTTGGAAGGTTGGCACTTTTCCCAAAAGGCAATCAATGTGTCTTAAGTATTTTATTTTAAAAGTGAAGGAAAAAATATATATTTTTCTACTTAAAATGAGAAATGTGAAAACATTTAATACTGTTACTCCAAATATATTATAAATATATGTAACTATACATATACTCCAAAATATATTATAAATATATGTAACTATGCAAATTAATCCCATTATACTTGTTTCCACCAAACTACATTTCCTGTAGTAATAAAACAGTGGTATCCTCCTACAGAAGCCAAATAGTAACAAATGTGACTAGTTTCCTTGATACCTTTTCTAATGTAATGTGATCAATGTGCACAAGGCTAACAGTGGTCAACAGTATCAATCCTGATAACCACGGAAAGGAGCTATGTTCCCTTTGCTAAGATTTCTCACCATCCTTTCCACAGATACTGATGTCTCAAGATCTGTTATGTGTTTATTGTAATTTCACCCCGTGATTTTTGGGGGCCTGCTGTTTTGTTCTATTTGAATTTTATATAAGGTTTGGTATAAACGGTAAGGTTTGTCAATAAAACTGCTCAATTCTTATATATGTTAAACTAGAACCATTTTAATAAAACTAAATTCATGCAGAATGTATAACTGCATGTGTTTCTGTCACTCTCTCTATAATCTGAAAAGACAACTAATCCCGTGAATCCTTCAACACAAGTGCAACAAAACCCAGCTATTTTAATTAATTGTTACAGAACAATTCAGAGAAAGACGAAAGCTTTAAAACGTAGGTGTTTTTGAGAAAATTGTTACCGCATGCCTCAATTTGTATTTTATTACCAACATTCCCAAAATTTCAGAAAAGGAGATTATGAAGGTACTGATATAGGCAAAATGAGGTAGATTTAACGGCCTTTAAAATTTTGCTCAGTAAAATCTAACTTTATACCATGAACTTTCAATATATTACACAAGCATTTAGATACTATGGGATAGGTACTTATGGAAGAATGTCAGTTGAGATAGCTCTCTTAGCTAGGAAAAATGTAGGGATTCATGACTATATTGTCACCCCAAACTGGAGAGAGAAAGGTTTGACCTGAGAAGCTAACACATCTCTCTTGTACACGCACCTTCTGCTTTGAGTTTTAAAATGTTCATTATTGGACAAGGTAGAAAGTAACATTTTCTTACCGCCGCGCAATATAGTAGAAAACAGGATTGCCAGCTTTTGATGTCCCAGCTTGGTAGAAAATATTTAATGTTTTCAGGGCCTTGAACTCTTCTTTTTCATGCACTTGGTGCCTAAAAATTAGCAAAATAATTACAAAACACCACGCTTTTAAAGCCAGATAGGCAAAACATCTTCAGATTAGTATTTTAAAGAAGTGCCTACATTTTTTTGTTTAATACTGATAACCAATTTTTGAAAGCCCAGCCATTTCTCCTTTCTCCAAGCTTTTTATTTAACCTTTGACCTCATAGTTGCGGGGGAAAAACCATACATTAGGAAGCCCTGGTTATTTTCTATTCAAAAATAGGAAAGGTATTTGCAGAAATGGTGTCTTTATTTTAGTATTATTTTTCTTACAAAAGGACCTCTTTCAGCAAACAACTATCTAGGAACAAATGACTACCTACTGAAGGTCTAAATAGTCAAACAATTTTAGGTAATTTGAAGCAGCTCCATTACCTGGTCATAAATTCTTCAAATTTGGAACTGGTGAGATTTAGACTGGACCAGTGCGTGTCTGCCACAGGCTTATGCTCAGGTGGGCCCAAGTAGGCAAGGAGAGTAGCCATTTTGTCAAATGGTCGTCTTCCAACAGCTTTGTGGTCCCTAGAAACAGTACATTACTTAAGAAACAAACTCCTAATCACCACTCAGCACCTTCGGCTTTTTAGCCATTAGCTTTCCTTATCTTGAATAACCAAGTTTCTCACTTCAACTGTTACTTTTGAGCACACAAAGAATGGATTTTATCTGTAGTGTTCACTTAGTCAATAAGAAATTGTTCATATAACAAATTAACATGTACAGGACTCGAGATGAATGACAGACATCTAACAACAGGTAGCAGCAAGAATTGCAGCAGAGAGTTACAGATAATCCACACTATACAATTTTTTTTATTAATAATCCAAAAAAGTTCATAGCGGGAGCATATTTTGAACCATCATGCTGTTTTCATGGGGCACGTCTAACACATACAATTACGGTGCATGGATAAACTGCAACGAATATTGCTCTGCAGTTAATTACTCCCAAGCGCACTGTTTGAATGTGCACCCAAGAGCAATAAACTCCAGATCAATAAACTCTGCAGTTTATTCATGCACAGCACACTGAACCAGGGTGGAGCGGTACTGGAGCAGTACTGGCTGGCAGGGGGCTCACGGGGTCAGCCTGCCAGCCCAGGGTTACTTCCCCCCAGCTCAATATGCTGTGAAGGGGCTGGCTGGCTAAGGCATGAGCGCAAGGCTAGCTGGCAGGCAGCCCCGACACTGAAGCACCCTCATGCCCCAGCCAGCCCCCTCCAGCATCTACACACGCGCTGCTGCAGTTTTCTTTACTTCGCAGCAGGACGGTACTTGTATTTACAAGTATTTACAAGTACTATCCTGCTGCGGAGTAAAGTAGTTTACTCCAGCCTAATAGGGGTGTAGATGCTGAGATGTTTACTGAGCAGCTAATTAGTTAGCTGTGCAGTAAACTGCTCGTGTAGATATGCCCACTAACAGCCAATTAATGCAAGGCAAACTATGCAAAATAATTGATTTGTCACATCAATAACTCCTTCCTAAGTAGTATTCACATGTCCTACCTGTTGCTGGAAAGATACTGGCCAATTTTCTCTTGATTGTTCCAGAGCAAACGATGCAAAGCAAGTACATTGCCATCACTGATAAAAGAGAGGCTGTGATTGACAGTGTCACTAGCAGGACAATCAGATGCAATATCAAGGAAAAACCTAAATAAGAGAGAAAATGAATTGCACACATTACTAGGGAAAAAAACCGCACGTGGTCAGACTCACTTTAAGACAAAAGGGCCATGAGAAAATGTTTTTCTCTTTGCTGTCCTTGCTTTCTGTACTTTTACACAACAGTGGTAGCAAATATCCAGTTAAGTTGACAGTAGGCTTACCTCCGTGCTGCATCAAAGTTGCTTTTTACAAAATCATTAAAAGGCCGCATGTGTTCTTCTTTTGTAAATAAGACATGGTTGGCAATACTTTGAAGTATCTAAAAAAACCCCAAAACCCCCCCCAAAAAACTGTTAACGGGCATATGTAGGTTTAATACTAGCAGCAATGCTAATGTAAATCTCACTCCTCCCTACAGCAAATCCCTTCACTTCAGTTTCCCTGTAAATCATCAGGACAAAAGAAACCTCTTGAATGAGCCAGTTTTACTAATTCAGTAAAACAATACCCCACCCTTACCCAATCAGTAGATATTTATTATTGGGAATGGCATTTTCACACACCAAACTCTGAATACTAGCAAAACTAAGTTAATTAATATTCACTAAGTGAGTTACAATTAAGGGAAGAGTTCTTCAACTGCAAACTTCAATAAAGTCTGACAGCCTAACTGGGTTTTTACAAGCTAAGTAAATTATGTAGGTATTTGAAGGGTATGGCAATGTACAGATATTGAAAAAGCACTTAAAACGTTGTCTGTGCAAACTGCTGAATTATATGGTAAATGCAGATTATTAAAATTCAAAGACTTAACGAAGCTTTGAAAGCCCTTTTAAGTAAAGAACTGAAATTTAACAGGAACAAAGTAGTAATGTGACAGCAGTTGTCAATGGCTTCTGCTTTAATGTTGCATGCCGTAAGTCCTGCGATACTAACATTTTCAAACTGTGTTGTTCTACAAAAATTCTGCATTTGTTCTAATTGGGCAAGCAAATCTAATATGGAGAAAATCCTTTGCAAAAATGAGGAACTGAAGTGGGAGACCAAAAAGCATACTGTGCTTCTACTTCCAAATACTGGGCAACATCAAAAGGTTTGGCTTTGATACCAATCTTTCCCCAGAACTAGATTACAAAGCCAGAGTATTTGAGTTATGCTGTGTGCAAAGGGTGGAACTGGCAATTTAAGTTAGCTGTGAAATGAGGAGAACATGCATGTACTTAAACAATGAAGTCCTCACAAGCCCCCCAGCAACATATAAATAGTAAAATGAAACAAAGTCAAATTAAAGAAAGCTAAACAACATAGTGAGGCCAAATAAAAATTTGAAGTCTCAAACTCAATACTTCACCTTTGACATTAACTTCAATCCTCTTTCAATTCTTGGTGGAGGTTTTTTATCTAAAATCCCTGCCTCATAAGGAGAAACAATCGCAGGATTGATAAACCGTAGGAACATGGCACTTCCGACCGCTCCAATACTGTTCTGAGGAAATCGCTGGCTTACAACCTGAGAAGTAAAGTTGAGAACTATTAAAAACACAGCTTGAACTAAAATGAAAGAGGAAGGAAAGCTGGGAAAAAGCATTCGGTATTGAAGTTCAGTTATATTTATATAGCCTAAGACCATAAAGACAACCATACAGGACTAATACATGGAGTAGAATTAGGCTATTATGAGCATGCTGTTTAAGCAATTATAACACAAGACTTACATTTTAAAAGGGGAAGAAATAAGCATAATAGAAAAAAAAGTAAAACACTGTGTAATTTTACTTTGTTTCCTATGAATACCCTCACATGGTGAAATTACTGAGAAGCAGACTGGAATAAATATGTTAGTACATGTTTGAGTTGAAAATTAAAAATATACGTTTCCATCAAACACACAGAAAGACTTTCTTTCCATTTTTTTTTTTTTTTACATTTCTGTGCAGTTACAATTTAAAGACTACCCATAGGAGCCTTTTTTACCCATAACATTTTTAATATAGCAACTTATGGCTAAATTTGTAAGAAGAAAACTTCACTGCAACCTAAGCAAACACTAAAAGAGATTTCCTATACCATGACCCTATTTCAGCAGCTTTGCCAAAGGACAGTTAAGATGGTTATGTTCAATGGCAAATCACTTATCTGAATTTCTCTCTTTAGCTGTACAACACCACTCTTTACTTTTCCCTCCTCTGCAGTAACTTTCATGCTGAGTAAAAAATCATTTGAAAATGGGGATCAGAATATGCTGAAAAATGTATAGATTTAGATATGGCACTACCCTTTGGGATCCAGTTCAAAATACTACAAAACATTCTTTGTAGCATGAACAGAATGAAAAAGTATGCTAAGAGATGCTAAGTCTTCCG